TGCTCCTGCTGCTCCATCTGCTCCTGCTCTTCCTGCCTCTGCTCCTCTTTCTTCTCTTTCTCCCGCGGTTTTATGATCGGCATACGCGCCCTAAACGCGTGGAAAACAAGCAGCGCAATCTTTGCGGCCCGCGCGCGCACAACATGGAACGGCTCTTCGCTCACGGCCCCGCCCCGCCCCGCCACGCCCCGCCAGAGCACGCCAACACAGCGCCTCTCCTGCCTGCACAGGCCCTGCTGCAATGTTAATGCATTAATTCGTCCCCCCAGTGCGCGCCCAATTTCTCACTGGGGTACCCCCAGTTCCCCCTCTAAACACACACACATACACACACACACACACACTAGCGGGGCCAGAATCTGGAAAAACAGCAGTGCATCCGTGTCGTTTCGTGTGTATGCAGTTGTGTTTTATCTGACTTGGTAACTATTTTCTTTTTTGTGTTTTTTTTCGGAATAGTTTTTACTGAGTATTACGTAGTGAGTTGTTCTAGTTTTTTTATTGGTGACGGAATACAATAGATTGTGGAGTCAGAGCCGAATAGGGGAGTGGCAGAAAACGTTGCGCTGAACTGTCCCACCACCCCCCAAGCGAGACAGGTGACAGGTAGATAGAATCGCACAAAAAAAGGTGGATTATAAAGGAATCGCTGAAAATCTACTTCATGTTTTTATGTGTCAGAGATCGACCAGAAAGTACGTCCTTTATACTCAGATTCATTCGGTACACTATGGGAGCTCGTCGTCGCCTGCGAAACGCAGGGTAGGCCAACCCGCAATACACCCGTGTTCTGCAGGCAAGTTGTTGCCTACCCATTAGGCGCTATGAGAGCTTGCATCGGGCTGAACTCGGATGGTTTCGTAACGGCAAATGAAGGACGTACTTTCTGAATAGGGTTAGAAGCCTAGGAAAGTTTCCGGGCAATTACAGGAAAAACGGGAAATTTCCGGGAAAAAGTGGAAACTTTGGAAGTTTTCCGTTATTATCTGGAAATTTTCAACCCTATTCCTGGATGATTCCTTACTGTATTAAATAAATTTGTCATATTGTTGTCGAGGTGCGGTGTTTGACTTAGAGAACGAGAAAAGTGTATAGTGACATTTATTTCTGAATCATTATGGCCTGTCGAGAAGTTTTCCATTTCGTTTTGTCTAGAGAGCAATAAGTTGATTGTCCTGAGTGAGTTGTTGGTGTTGGTGGTGGGTGAGTAGCCACAGTCCCCCGGCTCATCGGGCTTGCGCTGGCAATGCGTCTCGCGACCATCTGTGGCCGCTCCTCCGCCCAATTACCTCTTTGTTTCATCAAGGGGGAGGGGGGGTGGCTCCCCCCCAACAAGCCGGAACAACCCCTACCCAGCCGCGCGACCCCCACCGCCCGCTGTTGTGTTTTCATTGTCTGTGCTGCGAGAAAATTGAAACGCCAGTCCTGAAGAGGGGAAGCGGCCATGAAAAAATAATACGAAACGGCGAGTGGTGCGGAGCGGCTGCTGCGGGCGGCGGGGAGGAGCGGGCACGAGGCCTGGAGGCCCTGGAGGAGGAGGGCTCGAAAGCGGAGGGAAGACGACTGCCCAAGCTGGAGGTACTGGAGGTTCCAGCGGAGGGGTGGTCGGGAAAGGCGAGGCCTTCCTGCTGGAGGCACTGGTGGCTCAAGCGGAGGAGTGGTCGGAGGTATACCTATAGCGAGGCTTATCGCTGCAGGAGGTACTGGAGGCTCCACCGGAGGAGTTGGTGGTGGCGCGGGAAAGCGAGGATTTGCTCCTTGAGGCACTGAAGGCTGCAGGAGAAGGGGTGATCGGGGAGGAGCGAGGCCTCGCTGCTAGAGGTACTATGGAGGCTCCAGCGGAAGAGGTCGCGACGGAGGAGGAGGGCGAGGTCTCGCGGCTGCTGGAGGTACTGCAGGCTCCAGCGGAGGGAGGAGGTGGTCGGAGAGAGCGATGCCTCGCTGAATGGAGGTATACTGGAGGAGACTCCAGTCGCATCAGATATAGTCTGGAAGTGCCGGATGTCCGAGCTCTGCTCTGGAGACAGTTTTACTCCTGAGACGTCTGGCAGCAAGCGAATCGTATTTTAGCGACGCGATTTAATGCCTGGCAAGAGGAGATGAGATAGAACGTCGAGGAGGGTGAGTGGGTGTATGCGCACCGCCCGGGGGAGGAGCCTTCCAGGAAAGGTGCTTGATAGAGAGGGAAGGAAAACACTCGAAACCTTTACTTTATTTTGTTTCTTTAGCTTTTCGCAGAATGTTGACATTTTTTTCATCGTTTTCTGTTTTTGTAAAGAGAGACGTTGGGATAGGGATCTCCATGAGCACCGCCACGAGTCTGAAGTGGGAACACTTTCTTTCGTGTGGGGGCTTCGCTGCTGAGGCGTCGGCTGGGAAAGAGCCGCACGCCGCACCCACGCACGGTAAAAACAATGTCCATTTATTTTAGGGAATGGGGAAAACTTTAAGAAACTAACATGATTTGAGGACCCCCCCCCCTAAGATTTTGGGGAATGCTACTCCAAAAATGAGGGACATTTTTTGGGGGGAAGCGTCCCCAAAATCTGAGGACTTTTCGTCATAATGTTTTCTTTTTACCTCAAAAAATCAGGTACAGTATAGTGTTTTTACTGAGCAAAGACGAAGGAAGGTAAAAAGACGATCCGTGATCGGTGTGACCCCGTGAGATTAAACATTCACACAATAAACCTGTGGCTGCTCGGCTCAAGGCTCGGCTTTAGAATTATTTAACGTGAGGCGCATGCGGTAGTGTGAAAGGAAACCTTGTGTGTCACGGAGGGTCGAAACTGTCAAGGGGTGCGCATCGGTGCATTTCTTTTTGTAGCGCCTCATAATAAATTTACATTTAGATGGATTTTCGGACTCACCTTTGTCGTTGGGGTTGAACTCCGCCATCAGCTGTTCCTTGGTGGGTTCCTCGTCGCCGGGCTGCATGGTCGTGTCCTGGACGCTGTCCTGGGCGGGCTCCTCGACGGCGGGCTCGGGCTGCTCCTCGGCGGGCTGCTTCCTGGCGCGGTGGCCACGGAAGGCGGCCTGGATCTTGGTGGCGGCCTGCTCAACCTCGGGGTCCTCGAGGTCGATGTCTGCAGAGAAGCACAACAAAGGCGACGCGCCATTAGGACGATGTAAAAGACTAGTCGAAAACTAAGTGGAAAGCTTTGTAAACGGGCTTCCTTTTATGGCAGCTTTATGGGGTTAAGCAGCCACCTTCGCGGGCTAGTGACCCCTTTGAGGGATCACCAGGGCGGGGAGCCCCCCAGAGAGGGCAGCGGCGATGCCGCTCCCTCCCTGATAGAGCATTCTGTTTCACGTGCGCCCAACGCCGCCGCCGCCGCCGGGCCGGTACGGTAAAGGGGGGTTTCCAGTGGAATACTCGACGTTCATTTACACTTTGGCGCCCCCCCTCCCCGATCTACAACCGAGCAGCGCTCCGTAGACCGGGGGCTCGGCAGGGCTCCGAAAACAGCCCGCGTGTACTCTGTCGATTCAAGTGCATACATCGTCTACTCAGCCAATTCAAATGTGTACATGGTGTACACTTTACATAAAGTGTACACCATGTACGCTTTCATAAATGCGTATCTATGGCCGTTTTCATCAGCATCGCTTCGCGGGTCTACTGCACTTTTCAATCCAAATGAGTACATTGTATACTTTAAATAAAGCGTACATGTCATTACGCTTTTTGTAAATGCGTACATAGCCATGTATACGCTTTATTGAAAGTTAGACAATGTCACACATTTGAATTGACAGTGTAGTAGTAGACCAGCGAAGCGCGCGATGCTGATGAAAATGAATGAAGTTGCACACGAAACCCCCTTCCTGTTCTCCTCCAGCAGTACGGCGGCGGGGCTGAGGAGGCCGGCTTGGTCTCGAGGCCGTAAGTTTTAATTACTGAGCGGGGGGGATAGCAGCAGAGTGTAGGGCGGCGGGGGAAAGGACGAGGA